AACACCGGTAGACGGCAGCCATTACAGACGAACATGTGTTTGTTGTTGTTCGAGGAGCGGCTCGCTCACACACTAATGTCATTAGTTTATTATCATTACTAAGCTGCAGGACTGATTTTTTRCCCRTTTTTCACATCATGTCTCCTGCCTGGATCTGTTATTATCTCACTCTGAAGCACGGAGGAGTGTCAGAGGTGAGCTCGTTTCAACTAATTTTTACGACGTGGTCTCATTTCTGGACTCAGGCATTTTATGAATGAAGCTGATATTTCAGTTAAAATACACAAGTAAAAATATTTATCCGAGTATAGTACTACCCCCCAACTTTATGGATGATTTTATGGATTTAATCTTACATATTATACTGGAATAAATATGGTATCTGGAAAAAAAAAATCAGCTCACCGGAGCTAATATGTTACAGATTTATTAAACAAACCCTGATCCCAACATAAGAGCTGAGGATGTGAAATTTTATTTAGAGAGAGATAAATCTGCTGGGATTGGCTCCCTCAGTTTAACATTAACCAGATGTGATGAAGCAGCTGTGCTCTGAGTGACAGCATCAGGAAAAGGCAGGACATCATGTGGACATGTCTCCACCACAGGACCCCTCTGCAGCAGACRGCCTGCCACAGACAGAAATTACAATTCAACACTGTTATATTAAAATGTTAACGACTTAAAACCTTTTTATGACTTTTGTTACTTCAAGGTATCAGCATGTTATGATGTAATCTTTCTTTGGCTTAAACGTTCACTACATGATGACTTCTGTACAGTCCTTAGATCTGAGTGGACCTAAATAAATGTAACCACATGTTAGAGCCTCAGGCTGTGGACAAACACTGGGTGGTGCTGAGGAGGGAAGCTGTTTGGAGTGACACCTCTGCTTCTGTGGTTTGACAGAYGACAGCTGATGAGGATCAATATGTCAGGAACTCATTTATGTCCAGATGAAGAGTTTACGAACAAAACAACTGAAAGATGTTTCACTTCTCCTCCGTAAGAGTTTCTCCAACAGCAATTAGAAGATCCAAAGTTCTACATCACAAAATAATTAGTTCTGTGATAAAAAGAGAAGCCATCCATCCATCCAACCACCCATCCATCCATCCATCCAACCACCCATCCATCCATCCATCCATCATTCATCCATCCAACCATCCATCATTCATCCATCCATCCATCTATCATTCATCCATCCAACCATAATTTATTAATCCATCCATCCAACCATAATTTATTAATCCATCCATCCAACCATAATTTATTTATTTATTCATCCATCCATCCATCCATCCATAATTTATTTATTCATCCATCCATCATTCATCCATCCAACCATAATTTATTAATCCATCCATCCATCCATCCAACCATAATTTATTTATTCATCCATCCATCATTCATCCATCCAACCATAATTTATTAATCCATCCATCCATCCATCC